TGGTGACCACCAGTGATTGCCCCGATGATACAGTCCCGTGGGTGCGCGAGGCGCTGTGCTCCACCAGTCGCAGGACGTGTGTGTTGTCAGGGCGTTGGCGTCGCATGCGCCGGGCACACTCCGCTCTGGACAATGCATCGGGCGTGAGTCCATCCGGCCTTGGAGGGAGAGGGAGGAGTGTTCATCAAATCGGCAGCTGAGCCGAGCAGCGGCCGGCGGCCGGCGCCCCGCCAGGAAGCGCGGCGGTCGGCGGTGTATGACGATTACCGACCGCGACCCGTGTGACACCTGTGCACCGCGGACAGGGCGCGCACAGAACGCACGTGGCCGAGTCGAAACTCGATACACAACAAAGATCGTCAAACTCAACACGTTCTGCACCGCACAAAGCCCCGAATAGGGATTTTCATTTTCCAAAAAAGTATTTTAGGGAAATTTTTTGAAGATTTCCTGAAAAGTTTTCGTTTTTAAAAATTTCTGGAAATATTTCAATTTTTTCGGAAAATTCTGGAAAACTTGCCAAACTTCCCGGAATTTTTTTAAAAATTTAAAATCCCTCGCCCCTTGTTTCGTTATCGCTGCTTGCCTAGTGGCGTGGCGCGGGCCGTTTGCAAACACAAACACTCCGCAAAGCCCTGCTCCGCCCCCCGGCGCGGCGTGCGATCACACGGGCGACAAGGGGACCGGAGCTTTTGCCAGCGGGAAGGCTTTGGACAAAACGCTTGCCAACTGCGGGGGAAGGCGGAGGAGGAGGGGGGAGAGGAGAGGCCATCAGAGGCCGCCGCCGACGTGCGCGCTGGACTCGCGCCGGACGCGCTTCGAAACACGGCGTGCCACGGCAGGCGCCATGCGTCACTGCAGTACGGCACTGACGCGGCGAGCGTTTCAGAACCGAAGAAGGGGTCAGCTTAGTTAAGGAAGGATGACCACCTTCGTTCGGTCGCAAAAGTCAATCTTCGCCAAACTCGTCTGCTCTGCTTCACTTGAGCCTACAGAGAAGATCGCAAAAGGGGGAATGGAAGAGAGGCGAAAAGAGTAGTAGTAGTAGGGTACACACGGTGGGGGCAGTGGGGGCGCCGCGCGGGGGCGTCTTCGCGAGGGGGGCGGCCTCTTGCGGCGGCGCCGCGAAGCTGCGTGAGTCACGGGTGTGGGTCGGGTCGGGTCGGGTCGGGTGTGCGGCGGGTGCGGCGGGTGCGGCGGG